TTTGCTGCGCTACCTTCTTAGATACCTCTTCGCATTCTGCTGGTGGTAGTTCTTTAATGAACTCTTGTATCTCCTCGTCATCAATATGTACCAGTCCCGCTTTCTGTGATTCTCCAAAAAGAACTTCTTCACTTCGTGCTGATATTTGCACAACGTACTCGTCACGAACATGCTCATCTTCAATAGGCATAAGCTCCACTTTTTGCGGTTCCTGTAGAGAAACCTTCTCTTGATGCGCCGGTGATAGCACGTCCGCGTGGATCAGCTCTTGATAGTTATCTGGCTGCTGAAAAAGCTCTATATCAGAAGAATATGCATATCACTCAGTTAGTCTCTTTTGATATCAAAATTTTAAAGCATTTCTTCCCAGCATTTTCAATGCGAAATTTAGCAAAATCCATCATTTTACAAGGTTTATCGCAATATCAAAAACATCCTCCGTCGGTTAATGAAGTTATGTCTGGGCGAACTTCCAGAAGGTAGATTGCGCTTATATTCATGATTTTTAGTTCAGCACGACGCTTATTTTGCGGATGAACTATTAGATAAAGAATTCCAGTTGCTCAAGAAAACTTTTTTTACAACCAATATACTCATTAGCTAAAAGAACTGAGATTGCCAACTTTACAAATTGTTGATGTTGATGTTACGCTATGTTTGATGCACAAGCATGCCAAAATCATTTAAGTTTTGAGATTCTCATTAACAAGCTTGATTCACAGAATACCATGTAATCTAATTAGGTAAAAGAGCTCCATGATGTTGATGAAGCTGAAGAAGAAATGAGGTAACATGAGATTGGCCAATAAGTATCACTGGCTCTAACAATTAGCCTTCCTTGAATACAGCATTCACGTGAGTAAAGCAAGAGATTTTTGCACAATTTGTATAAAAAGGGAAAATATAAGAGCAGTAGAAATGCAGTACTGTTCAAAAAGTGCTGTAGGACCTACTTTTCAATCAGACTTATTCGAGAGCTGGACGAGAATATAATAAACAATTTAACTGATGGACTTCCGTATGCAATTTTCGACATGGTTTTCACCCCACGCTTTCAGTAAAACTGCTTTCGATAGTTCCAAGGTGGTTAAGACTTTACAAGCTCGCACCAGATTTAACAGACCGAGGTTCTGGCCCAGATCTTTTCTCCAGGCATAATTCTCCATTTGTTTGAGTCTATGCCCTTCCTTCACCAATGAAGTTGTACCAGTTGCTGCTCAAGTATTATGCTAAAACTCAAATTGAGAACATCTTTTATACATCTGTTTTTCGTTTGTCATTCGTCTTTTCTTTTACGAATATTTTTCTAAACCTAAACGATGACATTCAATCAGTTTATATTTGGTTTGTTGATTTGCAAGATATAGATAGTCTGATAAGAGCAGCCGGCACCTGCGCTTCCGTTCGAAACAAGGTTTTCCAACCCAAGCAAAACAAAAAGCTCGGCACAAATCAGTTTCTCCTTCCCTACGTTGTTCTCTTTCGACGTTTTTGCCTTTAGCAACGCGTGATGCACCACCCAAATTTCGTGCTTGTGTGAGTTTAATAGGCTTGTTCCCAAGATAATCCCTTTGAGCCATATGTCGCGGGATCATGCGGTAAACTAGCGCATATTCGAAGAAAGAACGACAATTTAACTCCAGCAATGCTGAGGGTATATAGCCAAAAAAGTATGTTCACTGTTTCCTGACCAAATCACTTAGTAGTTGTAAAGAGAAGGGGGTTTACGATGTTACAATCGATTAATTGAGTCTGATATTTGTTTTCATAAGCTTTTCAAAACTTTGATTTGATGCTGCCCTTTCCTTGCTCTGTGAAACTTATCACATCGTTTCTTCAACCTATATATTCCCCCTTCCCTCCCCCTTTTAAAAAGATGCTATATTCTGAAACACTATCAAGGATTATTAGGTTCAATCTGAAAACTCTACATCCCCCTCCCTTTCCTTCCCATCAAAGCTAATCTGATGGAT